AGACCCTGGTCTCACATCCCCAAAGATCCCAGCTGCACATCCCCAAAGATCCCAGCCCCACCTCCCCAAAAATCCCAGCCCCACATTCCCAAAGATCCTGGTCTCACATCCCCAAAGATCCCAGCTGCACATCCCCAAAGCCTCCAGCCGCAGGGAAGGGAAGGCAATCCCACCCCTGAGGCCTGGAGTCTCCTCCCTCCTGGATTAAATTCAGCTTTCTCAGCCCCTACCAAACCCAAGCACTCACCCCTGGCACTGCCATCCCAAACTCATCCCAGATTTCCTTCTGTGCCATCCCATCCCTGCTTGTTTCCAGGTGGGATGTCACAGGGATTTGAACCCATCACTTCTCACTGTACAACCCAAGATCCTACAGATTCCCTTCTCTGTTTTCCATAAACCCTGATCCCAGCAAAGGCTCTGTGCCATTGTTTTCCTGAGGGACTCAAGTTGAAGTAACAATCAAACCCAGCAGAGTGATGATTGCTGCAGCAATTCTAGTTTCTATCCTGCATTTCTTTGCTCTTTGGGGTACTTGGTGGTTTTTCCCAGCTCATTGCTTACAAAAACAAATGGAAATTGTTCAAACCACGAGAATAAAACAACTCTAATATAGATGGAATTATCTGTGGGGTTTAGATATAACTGTACGTTTGGGGGGGGGGGGGTTTCCTTTTAACTCTAAGCTGGTGTCTGAGAAGTGCAAATAACTACAGACATGTCTGAGGGGTGCAAAGCAATACTCCCAGTATTCAAAGCAAGCCTTGATTATTAAAGAGAAAGAGCTATCTGTGGTCACAAGAGTGACTTCCCAATCCAGAAATGCCATTTATTTAATTTAGGGTCATTAGTTTCCAACCATTCAGACATGGCACAGTCTGCAGCACTTAGAGGAGCACAGTCACATCAGAAAAATGAGCATTACACACAAAAATTCCAATTTTCATTCCATCAGCTCCAGCCCAAGGCATCTCTACCCACACTGCATCACCTGACCAGGGGCAGCCAACCACAAGGCAACCTTGCTTATTAATTTTTTTTTATTTAATACTTCCAATTAACATTTTTAATTACTTTAGAACACTAGGTACTGAGAGGATACTTGGCCAGATAGAATAACTGAATTTGCAATACCAAATATGATTAAAATGCTTTTTTTGGAAGCTTAGAGAAAGGAAATGAGCTTAAAAGATAGGTCTAAATAGCTATTCCTGAGCATTGTGACAGCAGGAGGAATTCCAGAGGGCTCAACCCACACTGGGAAGCAGAGCTGGATGGCAAAATTCATCCTGACACACGTGGAAGTGGGAAAAGGAGAGGAGCAGCACAGAGGGAGCAGAGCCAAGAAGGAAGCAGCAGGGTCAGGAAAACTCAACTGCAAGTCAGCAGCTCCTCGGGGCCCTGCTCCACCAACAGAACACCCCAAAGTGGGATTAAAGGGGCAGCCCCGAGGGAACAGTGGGACTGGGGCAGTGATGGGATTGGGGCAGTGATGGGAACAGAGGGATTGGGGCAGTGATGAGATTGGGATTGGGGCAGTGATGGGAACATGGGATTGGGGCAGTGAGGGGACTGGGATTGGGGCAGTGATGGGAACAGTGGGATTGGGGCAGTGA